TGTGAAGATATATTCTCAGCTCTTCACACATCGCACTGAATACGTATTTGCAGATACTGGAAAGAAGGCAATGACTTGTAAGTATGTGCGGGAAAACCCTAGGCAGCACATTTAAAAGGTAGACATGAAAGGCAAAGAGTCTTTGAAACGGTCTTCTGATACCTGAAATACTATCAAAGTGGTTTTTCAAGAAGCAAAAAATAAAGGAAATTAAACTTTGCTCTCTTCGGAAGTTGGCAAGATTTTTCCAGAAGTTGTCAATTCCAGTAAAAAAATATAGCAAAACAGGAAAAGTGGTTATGTATCTGAAGTCCCAATAAATAATACATGACGGTTTATGAATAAAAAATGTTGCCATTCATACCACATGTGACTGTGCAACATTTTCAACCCTTGTCAAGTTAAACATTATGTATCAAATGTCTGTTAATGATTGCACAAGGCCTTTCTTTTCAGTACAAGTGCATTGGGATCTCCCTTATGGCTCCTGTGGAAAGAGAATCTATATGGGCATGTAGGAGAACCACATAAGGGATCGTGGGACATGTAGTGTATATGTTCAGGTCATTACTGCCTGCTGTCCAACCGGAAGTTTGGAGAGTGGGGAGTCAACATGTTAAGAGGTAAAAAAAAATGTTTGGTAGCACAGTAAGGAAAACTGTGGCTCATGCAATGGATCTATTAAGAAACCTTAAAATAAAACAACCCAAAAAAAAACCTGAAGGTTAAATACTACTTTAATTGCAACTGGGATGTATTTGTGGTTTTATCTGGCAGGCTACATCAGCAGTCCAAAATGCACATGGAAGGAAACCAGAGTACCAGAGGAAACCCATGCAATCAGTTTTACATTAAATCAGGCATAGGCAAACTGCCGCCCTCCAGCTATGGTGGAACTAAAAAGGCAAATGCCTAATTAAATTTCTAGTTACACCACAGCTGGAGGGCCAGTGTTTACCTTAAACTGTGAAATGAGTTGGAGGAACTAGTGGGGTTTTTAAATATTAACCCTATATCTCACCATTTGTCCCCTCATTCTAAAGCTCCCATTGCCTAGTTCTTCTAGATTACATGTTCGTTTTTAGGGTTTTGCTAGAAGGACAGGAATGATCTTGGAGCCATCATCCACTTTTGAAGAGCTAGATCACATAGGTTTCCATTGCAAATCGTTAACAAAAGCACAAAAACGGGTAACAGTAGTTTTCTAATATTAACTGTCTGGCTTTTGGGATTTGAACAAGCCGCATTATACACATACAACTACACACATAGTAGCTGGCAATATCACAATCTCGCAGGCAGATGTAAAAAAAAACAAAAAACTATGCTTTTCCCCTGCAGCTGGCTCCGTTATTGTTGGCCACAGCAGAGATACTTACCTTCTCTTTGCTCCCAGAACGATGCATCAGGGGAGTACAGGGATAATCAGCAAAACCTTCTTTAATAAAAATATCTGGTACTTCTGGGTATGTGATGTATTCTCTTTTCTAATGTGATAGTGCTGGTTCTTAGTGATTGGCCCTGCTCTGTTATATAAAGGGGAAGTGTGTCCTTAGCCATTTGTAAGCGGGCTGGCATCAGCTCAGAGTCTTCTTTAAATGGCTTCATGCTGCCAGGAGCAAAGAGAAGGGAAGTATAACATGCTGCAGAGGTCAGCTTTACATTATACAGTATGTGCCCTGTATAGGCAAAGCACAGGTTCACTGTAAACACCATCCTTATTTTACATTTAAAAATTATACCAAGGAAGTGACATTTAAAAAGCATGTGTTTTAATTCTGAGACTGGAATACAATGACTCTTTATATAGGAAGCTCCAAAAATGATGTTGTGAGCAGAGTTTTCAGGCTGCTAGCATTGTCATTATGTTTCTTTTGGAATCTTGCTCTATTCTCATACATTAGTGTACAAACCAGAAAATAATGGATTTCTCCAGTGTTTGCTCTGGCACTCACCTCGGTGCCTGTTATTATTGCCTCTTGTCACTCTTGTTTTCTGCTGTCTGTAACCAATTTTAACATATCGCTAAAATGTCCCTCTTTTGTCTTGTGTAACCTTGAGAAGATTGGATTCTCTTTGCCATCCTAATGAACATTTTGTGACAGGATCTCACATGACTGCATCTTGCATCAGAACAGCTTGAACAGGGATTGATCACCATGCTCGCTTATGAGGAAAGCATTCCATATGCTGCTCTTAAGCTGAGCATGCACTTGTAGTTTTTTCTCATTCAGCCCACAGGGGCTTGCTAAACACCGTGGATGGGGGAATCTTCCCTGCTGAGTTATTGTATTCTAGCAGCCGGCATCCAAAGATGTTTGGCTTCAGTCACTGTTCAGCTAACAGTTTTCCACCCAGTTCCTACAACAACAGTTGGTTGAAAAATTTACTTTTGTGCAACAGAGTGATGCGAACAGGACTATACACAACTCGAGTCAGCAGGACTCATCTTTTCCATCAGTTGGCATGCATCATTGTGCAATTTTTAACTTGCAATTTTCAAATGATTGCCATGTGTCCTGGTCTTATCTGTCCCGTCCCTTCTCACTGATCTCTCATGTGAAGAATGAACCCAGAAGCGCTAAACTCCGAGCAGTTCCAGGTTCAGGGCTGACGATCTCTAGCTGGCCAGGAAAGAGGGTAAGCAAGCACAACCTATTCACCGTTGGCTTGAACAGAGTGCATGGGTAAAATTGTGGCGCTATTAGACCCCTGATGACTCTTTAATTCCCCTATTGATAAAAAAAGTGTTTAAAAATTAACGTTTAACTGGTTGTCGTCCGGCCATTTATTTACTTTTGGCCAAACGGCAACCAGTCTAATTTAAAAAAATAAATAAATCTTTTAGGTTGAGGAAAGTGTGCGTCTTCTGCAGCTGCTGCCAGCTATCCCAGGCTACGCTGTCCTTTGTGAGGGCCCGGCATGGCTGGTCTCTGTGGCTGGATCCACAATCACTGAATGTGGAAGTGATGTGAATTACATCACTTCCAGTGTCACTCTGTTATTTGTCTGGCTTCTGTAGCCAGAGAAGAAGCTGAAGAACCAGATCTCTGTTTCATCCCGCTTCTTTGGGGCCCCTAGGAGATATTAGGGGTCTAATAGACACATACCAACCCATACAAAGGCAAACATGCGTTGGGTGAGCCTATGTGCGAAAACAAGGATTGCACCACACATGTTACATTTAACTGTGAATGTCGGAGTGTAAGTAATAGTGTAAGTAATAATTCCAGGTCCATTAATCACTGTTTAACACTAAATTGATGAGTGGTAGAAGCTTGTAAAGTGTCGCCTATGGCCAATTTTGGGTATGGTAGTTTTTTTGCGATTGGACGCCACATGCAGTTTTAAGGCTTCACATGTTTGGTATGTATTTAGCCAACATGACCCCATCTTTTATATTTTACCAATGAATTGCGTAATAATTGCGTAGTTTTCATAACACAACATAGGAAAAACTGTTTTTTTCCCCAAAATGTTACTTTTTTTTCTTTTATATAGTAAAATAATTGAAACCCCAGTGGTGATTAAATACCACCAAAAGAAAGCTCTGTCTGTCCCAAACAAAGTATATAAAATAATTTCAGTACAGCTTTGCATGACTGAATAAATGTCAGCCAAAGTACTGTAACGCTGAATACTGAAAAATGGCTTGGACTGGAAGGGGGTGTAACACCCTGGTCTTCAAGTGGTTAAATAAGTTTAAATACATTTAAAAACATTTTGTAAATAAGTGATGAGCACACGAATATGAAAATAATTCTAGTGCCATCATTAACTGTTAACTTTAGATTGATGACAGTTTGGGGATTTTAGCCGTATCACCAGGGGCATGCAAGTTTAACACTTGATATATTTGGTATCTCTTTACTTGACACAACCTCATCTTTTATATTTTACAAAAAATTGGATATTATATTGTGTTTGTGTGAATTAAAATTAATTTGTGATGCATATGGAAGAAATGACTGGCCAACTATATGGCCGATACACTCAATTTGCATCTATTTGGACACCCTGGATTCTCCACTTAGACCCATGCCCAGACTGATATCACCTACCTCATCCCTTTTTCTCTCTGGATACCATGACTGGATTCTCTGGACCTTGCCTGAGACTTGTCGACTCCCAGACATGCCCCATCTACCCAATATGTCTACATGTGCCCCCGCTCTTTCCCCCTCTCCTTCTTTCTTTTCCTTTTCTTTCCTTCCACTCCTTTGCATCCCTCCTCTCTGATACTACCTTTACACTACTGTTAGTCCCAGGCGTTATTAATATTGCCGGAACTCTTCTATTGCTCTACCTTTGAAGGCTTTTAGTAACCTAAAAAAATGGTTATGGTTACCCTGATATGAGACTGTTAATGTCCTATGATCTGCTCGACAATTTCAGACAATGCTTTTACATAAAATGTGCATACGCCTAGTGGCCTAGATGCAGACTTTATCCGACTGCCTATGCCTTCCATCTTTATCCAATGCAATTTTTCTCTTATGATGCCTTGGGACACCTCCTATTTTGCATGTAATTTACTTCATAGATCTTATATTCTTATTTATCTATTTTTGTTTTGTGATGTCTTATTTCTGTACCATGAAAATGTGTCTAATAAACTTTGAATCTTTACAAAAAAAAAGTAATTTGTTTATTATTTACTGAATATATAGATTTGATCAACAGCAGGGCAAATATTGTGGGACATAAAACATTGCAACTGCCACCATTTTATTCTACAGGTTCTCTGCTTTCAGAAAATATAACATGTTTTTGGGGTTTTACGTAATCTTCAGGTCCAAAATGTGCATTTTAATGTGTTCAAAAATTAGGAAAAAAATGGCTCCAGCAGAGAAAGGGTTAAAGTGCAAGACCAGCTTCTGTTTGAAAAGTAGCTACTTGGTTCTACTTGGAGACAATTTTTTTTAAATACAATTTATAAATGTTTTTACTTGTGAGCTTCCTTCTCCATGCGTGTGAGCTCCAACTTTTTATCATTTCAGTGACAGCAAATGAGCTGTGGAAAGGAGTGTTGGCAGATACGTCAGGAGGATCTCGTAAGGGAAGAGGTAAAAGAACCAAGAAGAGGATTAAAAAGAATCTGAACGTTGGACAGCGTATTGGAGACGGTAAGGTCTTTGTGTTCATTTTTTGAAACCCTCAGTCTTATTTATGAAAAGTGACTTAAGGGTTAACTCTCTAAAGCGTAAGGCATAAAGCGCTTTTTTTAATTTTCTTTTTTTTACTGAAAAGTTCATTTTACGACATTAGGATAAGGTTTTTTTTTGTCATTTCAAAAACATGTTATACATGAACAGGACGAACAATGTACTTGGGTCCCTATGAACAATAATAAAATGAAGACAAGCAAACCATAAAATAAATTATGTAAACATAAGTATGAAGATAAAAGTGTGAAGATAAAAAATAAAAACATTACATTAGCACCAATTTGTTCAATGCAAGCAACAGCTACACTTGAAAAGCTGCAGGATGCCCAGTAAGACTGCAGTAATATCAATCATAAAGTGCAGTATTATCAGTCTCAAATTGTAGTGGTGCCCAGGAAAGAAATAACACTAATAATAGAAGTAATAATTCAATATATATTAATCTCACAGCATCAGGGAAAAGGCTGTTCCTCAGTCTGGTGATTCCTATTGCTAAAGCCAAACCTTTTTTTGTATGTAGTTCAGTTTTGGGTCATTGGAGTATGTTTACTATTGTAGTCCTGTGACCCAAAGTCAGCATATAGCGGGCTACTGCCCACTATATGCTGACAGTGCTGCAACCAGGAGGGATCCCAACAATATAGTTGGGATCCACCCAGTTGCCTGATTAACAGCTGGCTCTGCCTCTCTAGAGCTACACCCAGCTGTGCCTGTCACCTTCCCTGTCACCTTCCCTGTCTATCCCTCCAATGAGCGCTGGAGGAACAGAGAGGGGAGGGTGGAATCCCTGTCAGAAGGGGTGACTGATGGTCATCGTTCTCTACAAGGATAGCTGAGCGATCAATGGTTTGTGATCACACAGCTCTCTACCTATAGGGCCAACATGTGACAGCTGCAGTGTCACACACCAGCTCGTTTTATTACACCGGCACGTTTTATTTAAGGCAGAGGGGCCAACAGTCCATAAGGAGGATGGGAAGAGTCCTTTGTTATACTGAGGGTCATCTTCATGCACCTGCTGTTATAAATATTACTGATGATGGGCAGATTATACCACTAATACTCTAGGCAGTCTTCACCACCCTCTGCAGTGCCTGTTTGTCCACTGTACAAAATGGTAATGCAAGAAGTAAGCTAGTTCTCCACCACACACCTATAAAATTAGATAATGGCTGACGTATCCAGGCCAGCACACTTCAATTCAATGCATATTATCTTTTTTTTGTGTGGATTATTGTATTGTAAAAATAAATTCACAAAGTTTCTGGCAAGGATTATCAAACCTTAAAATAAGGATTGGTTTTGGTTGGAGTTGAGGAGGAACCGAGCTATGGAAGCTGTGCTAAAAATAAAAGGCAGGCACAGGGCAAAGGACTCATTTCCTGAGGTCACCCTGCAGCTGATCTTTACCCATTACGGACGTCCTAGACTGTGTCTTTGTTATGAGGCAGCCATCTTCGTAGAGGCAGGGCTTTCGTGTGCTAGATCCTCCAATTAGGAGGACAGTAAGCAGCACAGTAGTGCCTTTAAATTATCACTGTAGATATACAGCTATTAGGCTGCAGGCACAGGCGTGCCTAGACGCACTCGCGTATCACTTGCGTAATTTTCAACAGTTATTCCAGACGAAGGTACATTTTAGGGCACTAGGTCGGCACAATTAACTTTAATTGTGAGTTTCTATGAGGTGTCTATAGAGCCATGTTTTATGAAGTTAAATTACCAATAAGAATTAAAGAGGAAGTAAACCACTTTGTTTTGTTGTTTTTTTTCGTCCTAATGTGCAAGTATTCACAGCATATTTGCACATTAGGTCACACTTGCCTTAAAAGTGTGCCCTTCTCCTCCGTTGTCGGATCGTTCATCATCAGTCTCAGCGCTGTTGTCTGCCACTGGCCTCTCCACTGCTGGCACTTCAGAGTTGCTAGAGTTGCTAGAAGTTCTTTTCAGCCATTGGGTGACCTCTGATGATGTGTTAAATCCTCCATGGCACTTGGATGAGTCATGGCAGCTTAGAGATGATGTGAATGGGCTGTGTGTGTACATTGTGCAGTGTATAGTTTACACAGAAAATTGTGGTTGGAGAAAGGGAGAATATTTTGGGCAGAAGAGACTTTGCATGTCCCTACCTCCCAGCGATTATTTTTATTTTTTTTAACTTTCCTTCCACTTTAAAGGCTTCCAGTACAGCTATGCAATATTAATGTATGTACTTGACTGAACAGTCTGTCTCTACAAGGGTCAGTTCATGCAGTTATCATACTGTGTTTGTTACTGTAATGAAAGATTGCAAGTAGATTTGCTTCTGCCCAACACTGTGCTCTACACTGCAAATAATAAATTGTCTATTCACACCTAAAAAAAACCCTCTGGAGTATTCGCTACTCAACAATGAAAAAAATTGGAAGGCTACTTTACAAATTTCTTTCAGGTATCTACAAGTGCTCAGTTTTGCATGCTTTTACTCTGGGACAGATTGGTAGATCAAACTTGTTTTACTGTTTTGTAGAACGATGGTCACGCTAACAACTGATCTTTTACTGCACATTTTTCTCCTAGGAAAATCTGGATTTCTGTGGCCAGGCTTGAATTCACCTATAGTATTGAACAAAAAGGAGCAAAACATTGAACAGCGGAATAAAGAGCAGCAGGAAGAAAGGCAAGCTCAGATATTTAAGGAGAGAGATCAGTGGGAGAAAAAGAAGAAGACCAGAGTTAGAAGAGAAGAGAGAGGATGGACTGGAAGAAGCTGGGGTGGACTCAGCGTTGGAAAACCTGATCCAGGTCCTAATGGAGGTGAGATTCACAATATGTATGTTAAAAAAAATATTGCCTGTAAAACTAAAAAAATGAGGCAAAGAAAAGAATGAATGATTATCTGTGCCGCTGACCAGTCGCCAGTCTTTGTTCTCTTGAAGAGATAAACTTTTTGAAAAATCTTATGCATCCCTCACTTCCAGGAATGTTGAATGCCTACTCCCCTGCAAAGCTCTGTGGTCCAATCTGCCAGCTCCTATATGTCAGTAGTGACAGAGGAGCTGTTGGAAGGAACCCCAGCGAGGGACCAGTCATGTGACACACTTGAAAAATGTTAGGTGCAAGTGTTTTTTTTCAAGAGAATGAAGATTGTTGACGTGGGTGCTGGGACAGGTATTCTTTTCTTTCAGAAAAACTTCTTTAACCACTTAAAGACCATGGTGTTTCACCCCCTTCCTGGCCAGGCCATTTCTCAGTATTCAGCGCTGCGGTACTTTGACTGATGTTTATTCCGTCAGGCAACGCTGTACTGAAATGAATTTCATACCATTTTTTGGGGAAAGATAGAGCTTTCTTTCGGTGGTATTTAATCACCACTGCGGTTTTTATTTTTTACTATATAATAAAAAAAGTCCCCTAAATTTTGAAAAAAAAACATGTTTCCCTATAAAATGTTATATAACATTTATTTTCAACCCAATTTTTTGGTATAATATAAAAGACGGGGTCACGTCGGGTAAATAGATACTAAACATGTCAACCTTTAAAATTGCGCACGCCCGCGAAATTGCAGAAAACTACCGCAACCAAAATTGGCCATAGGCGACGCTTTAAACGTTTTTACCGCTCATCAGTTTAGTGTTATCAGTGATTGATGGCCCTAAAATTATTGCTCTCACTCCGACGTTCGCAGCGATATGTAACATGTGCTGCATAATGGGCGCAATCGTCATTTTCGTACATAGGCGCACCCGAAGCATGTTTGCGTGTGTATGTGGGGGGGGGCGGGGAACTTGAACACATTTTTTGTGTTATTTTTTTTAATTATTATTTGTGAATATTTTTGTTAGCTTCTTTATTTTTTTTAATGCTGTAATTTTTTTTTTTTACTTTTTTTTTAGACTTAGCTTTATTGCTATAACATAGGGGACTAAGAAATCCCCTATGTAATAGCCAGTTCACCAAACAGGTCCTCTTTATGGAGACATCAGGGGTCTCCAAGACCTCTGATGTCACCTAGGGACCCCCACAGAAGCTGATGAAGCAGAGATCTGCTTCATCAGCTTCTCTCCGGTGTTCTGCACCGGAGAGTGACACTGAATGCAGGAAGTGATGTAATATACATCACTTCCTGCATTCGGGGACAGGAAGAGAGATCAAAGGGAAATCGAGTAATGATCTCACTCTGATCTGCTGTTAGAGCGTCGCGGTGCCGGTCCCAGCCGCACCCGCCACAGCGGATCACGGACCGGCAGCGGCAACGACTAGACATAGGTACGCGGGCGGGGAGCGCACACCCGCAGCTCCTGCAAGCTATCGGGCGTCTCTAGAGACGCCTGATTGCTTGTATGTAAACAGCCATCGCTGGCTGTTTACATGCTCACAGTTTTCCCTCTCGTGTGCGCGCTGAGTGCCACACACGAGAGGGGGGAGGGGCAAGACGTCTTAAGACGCCCTCCCACTCCTAGCAGACTCCCGTCCGGCCGTTCACAAACGGCCATGGACGAAAGGTGGTTAAAGAGGAACTCGAGTTATTAAAAAAATTAACCCTTGCAGTAGGGGCTACCCCTGGTGGGACTGAGGAATAGATGAGTATATCTTCTTAATCCAGCCCTTTGACCAAAATAAGCAGTTAACCCTTGCAGTGCAGGGGTAGCGCCACTGCATTTTTTTAGATTCCTGGAGTTCCTCCTTAGGTTTTGTGTTTTTAGAATTCCGGTTTGTGATTTATGTGTGATAAATATCCATGGTATAAATTAGGCAGCAGAAAGTGTACGTGCCTCTGTAATTTCGATGCTCTTAGCTGTGTTGCCATGGCATTGCGCTTTTGAACTGCACTTGATATGTGGAGTGGTTAACAGCAACACTGTGAAAATGTCTGTTGGACATTACCTTTTGTGAGCAGATCAAATAGATTTGGAAATGTTGAACTGAAGTTTTTCGAGGTGGAAGATTCTGGGTCACGATTTGAATACATTTCTTATTTTATTTTCTAATAGGTTGCTGTAAATGTTAGCCTCATTTTTCTCAGTCTTAGGTGCCATTATAAAATTACATAATGACAGTGTATGTTCTATTATATCGTATCATGGTATTGGTCTGGGTTGGAGATCCACAGCCCTTTTACAAGATGACAATTATACACACATACAGTGAGGGGAATTTATCAAAACTGGAGCAGTTGCCCAGGGCAACCAATCAGCTTCTCTCTTTCATTTTCAAACCTAAACTGAACATAGAAGCTGATTGGTTTCCATAGGCAACTGCTCCAGATGTTATCTGCTCCAGTTTTGATAAATTCCCCCCAGTATGTCTTATCATACTCTGCCCGATGTGCAGTTTAACACCCTTCCCCAATAAAGTCCTGGTAATCATAGAGTTCCAAAGCAAGACTTCTACCAATCCTTTTTAGCTTGGCTCTTATCATGTCCTGAGTGCTGCTATAAAGATTTACACTTGTCTCAGCAAACGTCTTGCTAGTCTGCTCAAACTGAATGTGTTTTCCTTAAGACTACATTTGACAATCTAATACAACAGTTACTGGTACATCAGAGTTTGCAGCTACTCCAATTTATATATATATAACTGAACTCCAGGCATGCAGCTAAATACATAGATGAAGCACATATCTGAGAGTTGTTTTACCTCCAAATAATTTGTGTCCATCCAGTCCTGAAATTTTCACAACCCTACCACGCAGCACAGTCCTGTCTGACAAGTCAGGAGACTTGATTTTTGTCTGCTGCATTTGGGTAACACTTACAGATCTTGCCCCCCCCAGCCCGTGATCGAACCCTGAAAGGAAATGGAGCACACTGATAATCTCAACTCAAATAAACTCTGCTCTCTTCTGTCAGTGCTAGCGATTGGAAGCTTGCTTACAGGAGAATCCTACCGCGCTCTTTACTGGTATGTACCTTGCGGTGGGTGCTGTAGTGACTGCGGATGGCACTGCTTCAGATTCAAGTAGTAAAGTATATCACCAGCGTACCGTGGTCAAATCTTCAGAAAGTGATCATTTTATTGATGCACACACATCTTGTCACATTGCAACGTTTCAGGGTCTTTTCCTAAGGCATGCCTGAGGAAGGGACACTGAGTGGTCCTGAAATGTTGCGATGTGACCAGATGTGTGTGCATCAATAAAATTATCACTTTCTGAAAATTTTACCACTGTGTGTTGATGATATATTGTATTACTGGAAGGCTGCTGGGAGGTGGGAGCAGGGGGAGCTAATCTTTTGAGAGAACATCTTGTAGAAAAAAAAGTTAGAAAATACTCTTTCCTGATACCTAGCTTCCGCACTGAGAGGGTGGCGACAGAATCATTTTGGCGTGATCCTGGAAAAACTGAGTTTCCCAAATCTAGCAAGAAGGTGTTCTAGCACAGTGCAGGAGCATTCTTCATCTACGAGATTTTAAATCCACAGCGCTCCTAGGATCTTGCCTGAAGGATCATGACTTCACCTTTTCCTAGGTGCTAGGTGTAAGGTAAGTAGATTTACTTTTTTAGATGGTGGCGGGAGCTCTATGTAATACGCAGACATTGGATTTTAGTAGAGGTTCCTCAATAGGCAGATGGCTGCTGCTACCCTGTGCACTTGACCTAAGGAAGAAAGACCCTGGGAATTCGGTTGATGACATAGACAGTACAAAGTCTATAAATTGCAGGTAACCAGGCAGAATATGTTGGTACAGCAGGTTTGTAGAACACATCCAAACTCTATACTAGTAAACAGAAATACTAAAGTCAGATGTACACGCATAGAATTTCGCTGCGTGGAGGCCGCTGTCGGCATCCCAGAAGATCGATGGAGCCAGTTGTAAAATTCTCAGCCAAACGGAGCTAGCATTTAATCAGCTGCTAGCTCTGTTCCTGTATTCTGACAGTGGTCGACGGCCGCTGTCAGAATACAATAGAAACAGTGGGGGATTCCTCGATCAACTCATAAGCGTTGATGGAGGAATATGTTATATTTCCTTCGCTCAGCTGGTAGGTTGAACAGAGAAAAGATATACGTGTATACCCAAGTCACACTGCGATCCTTCCCTCGGGATAACCCACTTATATTTTGTAAGGACCCTTTTGTCTCTTTGGACAGCAATAGAGGGAAAGTCTACCTATCTGGTGAAAATTGTGTTTAGGACACAGTACAGGAAGTAAAAATGAAATTTCTGGAATAAGAAGCAGATGGCCCAAAAAAAACGTGAGTCTATCCAAAATGTAGAAAAAATAGCTTAACCAGTTGACATCCGCGGTGTTAAACCCCCTTCCCATCCAGGCCATTTTTCAGTATTCAGCGCTGCGGTACTTTGACTGACATTTATTCCGTCATGCAGCGCTGTACTGAAATGAATTTTATACCCTTTTTTGGGGACAGATAGAGCTTTCTTTTGGTGGTATTTATTCACCACTGGGGGTTTTATTTTTTTACTATATTAAGGAAAAATTACCGAAATTTAAAAAAAAAAACAGTTTCCCCTATATTAAATGATAAAACATTTATTATTACCCAATTTTTTGGTAAAATATAAAAGATGGGGTCACGTCGGGTAAAAAGACACTAAACATGTCAAGCCTTAAAATTGCGTGCGCGCGCGAAACCTCAAAAAACGATAATACCCAAAATTGGCCATAGGCGACGCTTTAAAAGCTGTTACCGCTCATCAGTTTAGTGTTATCAGTGATTGATGGCCCTAAAATGATTGCTCTCACTGCGACGTTCGCGGCGATATGTAACATGTGTAGCGCAATTGTAATTTTTGCACGCTGGGGCACCGGACGCGTATTTACGTTTATAGGCGCGTAAACGTGGGGG